GTATGTGTCCCAGCTCTCCGAACCACGGTAGAAATTGCTCCCGTTTCAGCGTCTCCTCTCTCTGTGTCCCTAGTGTCTGTTGCTCTCCACAACTGAGGATTGACAGTCTCATCACACCCCTTTGCCTCTGTCACCTGCTGCTCACTGACTTGTGAGCTACTTGGGGGTCATAGCCACACCCGTCCTCCCCAGACACCAAGCACAGAGCTTTGATTTAGCAAGCCCTTGGTATGTGTCTGTGTGAGAACGTGAATAAAAGCATCTGAGTTTGTGAACGTTGGTCCGGAACATGCATTCTTCATGAAATCACCGAGATCAAATGAAATACTTTTGAAAAGCAGAAACGTAGCTCTGCTTGCAATAGAGAGGGGACATAAAGTGAAAGACTTCATTGAGATATCGAAGGAATGCTGTGGTCAAGCGGATCTCAGCAGCAGATGTATTTGATCCAAGATGCGAAATGCTAACTCTGAGTGATGATAGCTCGGCTGCTGATTTGACTGGATTCCTGGTCATGAAGGGAAGTTGAGAATCAGGGAAGAAAACACGCAGATGTCTATAAGGAAAATGCAGGCTTTGTCTGGGGTAAGACAGAAAGGGCTTCTGCCAGGACTCCCCCATGCCTTGGACACACGTGGATGTCAAAGCTACAGTTGTTGAGCTGTAGAATGGGGCTTGCTGAGGAGGTTAGAGAGAAGGCAGGAAAAGAACTAGCATACAATACTCACTCTGTGTAGGACAAAATTCTTCAGGTCTGCCTTTAGGCTCTGCCTCCTAGTCTAACCTCCAGGCAAGGTCACAGAGTGATAAGATGTTGGTTGAATCACACTTGGATTGGGTTCAGATAACAGGTTACCTTATAAAGTAGTAATAACATCAAATTTAAATAATTACTTAAGATAGCTTAAAGAGATGTTTGAAAAGGGGGAATTGGAAGCAGTGGTACCCAACGGATAAACATAGAGGTTGCCTCTTCTGGGTTACCATTAGGCCAAGATTGAGCTGATATCAGTCAGCTATCTTTTATTGTCACTAGATTTCAGAGCTGGGGCTGGCTAAAGTGGGGCTGCTACATACCTCTCTTAAGAGGCTCACCACCACCATGCAGCCCCAAAATACAGACTTCATCCTGCCTGATCCAGTTCCTCCTCGTGGCTGATTTCTCCCTCCCCACAGCCCTTTCTGCCTCCTGACATTTGATGATAGCGATTGGTATTATTTCGTATTTTTATTGTAACATTAAACTATGTTCACAGATTCCAAGTCTGATTAGTTGGCTGCTTACTTGGCATTATGGCTGGCTTACTACTTTAAAAAAGCAGAAAAATACTTTCATGGAATTCTGTAAGATTACGGAGCCATGTCCAGCATGCTTATCAGCGACTTGGGTGAAGACATGGAAGCTGCAGAGCTGAGCAAAGTGGCTCATGGATGGGGTGACAGGATCAGGCTTCAGACAGATCTCAACAGCCTGATATTCTGGGCCAAAACCAACAAGAAGAAATTCAGTAGTGATTAATGTTAAGTCATGGGAGAGAGCTGGCTCCACCATCGTTGTTTTGCAAAAGACATTATTTTGAAGAAGAACAGTAACTTACACTTATTGAGACATTCACCAACTACATTGATGGAGATACTGTGTGATTTACTTTATATGTGTTATTTTGTTTAAATCCTGTTTGGGCAAAGATTATTATCTCCATTTGATAGATGAGCTTTTAACCATTATGTGATACTGTGTCTGCAGCAAGTTCCAATAAATGGTGTGGCTGAAAAAGGAAGAAAGGAGGGAAAGAAAGGAGGAAGGAAGGGAGGGAGGGAGGAAACTTAGGTTTCATCAAAAGAAACCTGGATCATGGGGACAATGTATGGTCTCTGTTCTTCTCAGATACAGTGTTGTATTCTGGACATTACGTTTTTTTTTTTTCCTTTTTGTCTTTTTTCGTGTCCGGCAATGGATCGCAACCCTCAGTGTCACGCCCGTACCGGACCGGGGACCGGCAACGGGATCGCAACCCTCGGTGTTGCGCCTGCACCTCGCTCAGCCAGTGAGCGGGAACCGGTCTGTATGTGGGATCTGAACCCTCGGCGGGAATGCCGCCGCGCTCCCAAGCGGCGCCCTGTAGCAGTGCACCACCGGGCCGGCCCTGGACATTACATTTTAAGATTAAAAATGTGCAATCTTAAGTGTGTGCAGAGAGAGAAAGAATATAGTTGTGAAAGAGCTGGGAGAGTAAAAGGCACTGGGGTATTAGCCAGATCTTGGAGGCTTTGAGAAAGCTTGAGAAGGGCTCTTCCACAGAGGAGGATTGAAATTCCCTGTTCATTGTTCTAGAGGGATGGAAATTCCAGGGAAGCAGGTTCTGTTTCACTATAGGGAAGAATACACAAGCATACACTTTCAGAAATGACCCTGGTGGCACTTCATTCTGCTTCGACCGAGTTCTTTCTGAATATTTGTGTTACCATCATTCTGCTAGGATCAAAGGGCAGAGGAGAACTGGGTAGAAATCTGGGATATTATTGCTACTCTTTGGGTAAGGAAGAATACATGAAAAGGGAGGGAGGGTTGCTGGAGAGAAAACGGCATTGGGGCTTCAAATCAAAGTCCAACCATCCTCTTCCTAGTCAAGTAGAGGAGAAGAACTCAAGGATCCCTCTTGAGATGCCATTTTCTCTCTATTTTCTTAGGGGAAAAATGTCTTACCAATCCAAACAGAGAAACTAAATACTTGCATTTATAACATGTCTATTTTAGTTGTTTTAGAATCGATTCCTTTTTTTTTTTTTTTTCCGTAAGTAAAGGTGGAGAAGTTATGGAAAGAAACCTGATTTTAACTATAAACTGAACAGATG